GGAGTCAGCATGGGGAAAAGCAAGGTTGCCTCCCCCTACTTGGACAAAAGCAGAGGCTGCTCAGGACCCTCTGGTGTGAGGTTCTGCAAAAGCACTGTCATGTCAAGTCCCTATGCCCAAACTAAATTTTGGTAATCCGGGAGTATTTATCACCTATGTCCTGGGCATAATCTAGAACACCAGCAGGAGAAGACAGAACATGGCACATCTGGCACCAGATTCGTTCTTTTGGGCCCAGAATTGCACGCTTGACAGTTTGAAACCCTTTAGAGAGAATCTCTCTCAAATGCTTCGTTTAACATGCTCCCACTTACCCTCTCAAGAACACTGTGCTAGGTCATGGCAGACAGTAAACAGTGTTAGAGTACTTCTGTGAGATAATTGCTCAGTCAGATTGAACTTTTTTGAAGCATTAGAAAAGTAAAGTAAAGGGAGCGCGATGAACTGTCGATGCACCAGCTTCAGGGCATATCAGGCAGACCTGGGGAGGGCTCCGTGCAGGCTGGCAGGTCTTTCTTACAGTCCAAGATCAGGTATGCAGCAGGGGAGGCACAAAGTGCCTGCACACCTAGCTCAGCATCTGGGAGCCAGGGCACATGGGAGAGTGAAGTTCTTTCATGAGCGAAAGTCTCTCCTCGGCACCTGGGCTTCTCAGCAGTCCCGCCGCTCTTAGATGGAGCTGGATCTGAGGGCAGCGTATTGGCCGGGAAGCACAAAGTTGTATCTGGGCTTTAGGAAGAGGGGAAAACAGGGTGGTGGGACACTGGGGGTATAAAACTGTCCTGACTCTGTGACATAAATGTCTGTCTGTCTTCCCCTTTGGCCAGACTTTCTGCAGTGTCCTGCCTCTGTGTTGTCTGTTCAAGTGTAATGTCTGAGAAGGCAGAGCACTGCCTGTTCTAAATAACTGAGCGCAGTCTGGTGCCCGCAGCGGTCACCACTGCTGGTAGTTGACGATTAGTGAAGCTGAAGCTATTTTTTAAACAGGGCCCGAGGGATGCAGACAGTGATGAAAACGACAAAGGTGAAAAGAAGAACAAGGGCACGTTTGATGGAGATAAGCTAGGAGATTTGAAGGAGGAGGGTGATGTGATGGACAAGGCCAATGGTTTACCAGTGCAGAATGGGATCGATGCAGACGCCAAAGACTTTAGGTTTGTATGTTCTACACTTCTGATTTCTGCAATATGGGCTCTGGGCTTTTGTTTGTTTTGATTTTGCTCCCAACCCCTGCCCCTGTGTTTTCTTTATAAGACCCATATGTAGGGCAGCCCCAGCAACAAACACAGACTGACAGATAACTGGTGAGGTGGGGCTTCTAAAAATCAGTGCTGGATGCTTTGCCAGACTCGTGGAGTTCGTATTTGTGTAGTATCCTGGAAGTCACAGTGTGATTCCTTAAAGACATTTCAGTTATTTTCAAGTATCAAAATTACCCGGGATAGGTGCCTTAGGGCTGTTCCCCAAAGCACCGTGTTTGAAAGCTATGGTTGCCAAAGGCACTGTGTCCTGTCCTGGCCATTGGAGGGCCGATGGTCGAGAACGCAGGCATTCTCCTACTTAAGTCTCATAAACTCCATTTGAGGTAGGTGGGTCAGATGCTGTTTTTTCAAGAACCAGAGCTGTAGCTTAACGACTTGGTCCTTTTTAAAAATATAATTATTTATTTAAGTTTATTGTTATTTTTAAATTCACCAGAGAAAGAGAGAGAGAGAGAGAGAGAGAGAAAGTGAGAAAGCAAGTCTCCAGATCTGGGACTGAGACTGTGGTCTGCCGTGTGGGAGTCCAGTGCCTTAACCACCGCGCCATCTGCTGGCCCCAGACCACTTACTCTTGATCATAGCCCTTTCACAGATGCATCTCCGCTCATCTCTGGTCATGACCAATATGTAGATTTTGCTGTATAGTTTAATCTACGTGGTATTAAAATAACACATATCTGTCTTCCACAGTGAGAAAGTGAGAGAGAGAGAGAGAGAAAGTGAGAAAGCAAGTCTCCAGATCTGGGACTGAGACTGTGGTCTGCCGTGTGGGAGTCCAGTGCCTTAACCACCGCGCCATCTGCTGGCCCCAGACCACTTACTCTTGATCATAGCCCTTTCACAGATGCATCTCCGCTCATCTCTGGTCATGACCAATATGTAGATTTTGCTGTATAGTTTAATCTACGTGGTATTAAAATAACACATATCTGTCTTCCACAGTTGGCAGGTAATTTTCATTTATGTAGGCACCTTTCTTTATGATTTATATTTTGTAAAGTCTGTAAGATTTCTTGTTTAATGATATTTGGGTAGAGAATTCAAGTTTGAATCATTTTAATGTCTGTCTACAGTTAATGTGTGTATATGCACATAGCGCACACCCCCTACCCTAACACTTACCACAGCCAAAATGAAGATGTATTTTGCATCATTATTTAGAGAGCAACGTTCAGTTGTTTAGTGTTCCTAGTCTACTCCTTCACATACTTGCATATGTGAAGTATTACTTACAGTCCCTGGAAGCAGTCTGAGGCACAGGAGACTAAGCACTGTTTGACATCTTTCATATGAGTTAGGTAGCCGCTCTGCCCCAAATCTCTAACAGCCTGCAGTGGTATCCTGTGGAGTCTGACTGGGGGCGGGAGGTGGTGGTGGTGTTTGTACCCGTGTATGTGAAGGAACATGACAGCTTTACTAGGTACCAGCTCCAAACTCCAGGAAGGATGAGCATTGGGTGTGGCCACAGGCAGCACCCCTCCTACTATAGTGCAGCGTGTGTGTGTCTGAGGTTGGTCATGTCATTCTGTCACCCTTTACAGGAGGATGGCATATCCCGGGTTACTCAGGCTAGGACTTGTTCATACCTGTGTTCAGGACACTTATCAGGAGGGCCTTTTTTTGTCTGTTCTTAAGAGTGTCCTAGTTTGGATGATAAAGTATTTCCTCACATTACTCTTTCTTTTTAAATTTGCCAGAGGATACATGCAGTTGCCAGAGACAGGGGGAGAGGGAGAACCCCCACCCCATTGTGGCACGGTCATGCAGCAGTCCCCACGTGTGCACATGCGCCTGGCTCGTTCGATAGCCGCCAGGGCTGAGTTTCAGGGCGTGCAGTCAGCCGTGTGGCACCTGGCTCCCCTAACCTCCAGGCACGGGTCTGGTCCCCCTCTTCTCCTTACTTTCAATTCTTAGAATTGTCTCCTTACAGGGCACGTCCCACTACTGGGACACGTCCTCGAACATGAGTTTATACTGTTCTATTTTGAGATCGTCTGTTTCTATTTGGTTTCTTGGAAAGAGAAGGTAGTTTTAGGATTGTTGAGAAATATCAGTAGTACATAAAAACCTTTTACCGGAATTATTTTGAGATGTGGAATTTCTCCTAGGCACAGACTTCCCATCAGCTCTATATTTAAAGAGTAGATGTTGCTTTTGGGAGTCCTATTTTGCTGCCAGCATTTTGGGATCTCTGTTTTTATGGGTCCCACAGGCAGTGGTTTTTTCCCCGGATCATCCCTTGTTCTCAGATCTGGAGTCCTGGGTGAATGGGTTGTAAATTATTTGCAGTTAAGGTAAATTTAAGGGGTGGCTCAGGTGGGGAGGCAAGCAGTCTGAGACTCACCCGAGGGGATGTGACCGTGTAAGCACCACGTTATGAGCTCTGGTTATTTCGTAGGACTGGTTTTAAGCACTGTTGATAATAAACTGTGTCAAGTACACTGTCCTTATACGTGGGTTGCTGTAGTGTCCCTCACGGCTCGGAATAAGGTTTAATGCCCTTTACTTTCTCTGTTTAGCCGTACCCCTGGTAATTGCCAGAACTCTGCTAATGAAGTGGATCTTCTGGGTCCAAACCAGAATGGTTCTGAGGGCTTAGCCCAGCTGACCAGCACCAGTGGTGCCAAGCCCGTGGAGGACTTCTCCAACATGGAGTCCCAGAGTGTCCCTTTGGACCCCATGGAGCATGTGGGCATGGAGCCTCTGCAGTTTGATTACGCAGGCACGCAGGTACCCGTGGACTCAGCTGCAGCAACTGTGGGACTTTTTGACTACAATTCTCAACAACAGGTACTGTGTGTGTCTCTGTCACCCTCTCTACTCTCCCTCTGGCCAGCAAATTAGTCAAGTAACTAAGAGTGGGTGGGTGTGGGGGGGCGCCCTTGGGCCTTTCCAGTGGCTGGCCTTCAGTAACTCACCGGGGATACGTTCTGTGCGGCCTGTGTCTCCCTTGAGAAGCTCTTCACATGCCAGGGTCACTGCCTTTGGTGGCTCTCTCTCGAACACCTGGGATGTGCGGGAGCTGGTGTCACCTCTTCGAACACAACTCTGCTAGATGCTGAAGTAACCTATTTGAAGACTTTAGTGGTTGTAATACTTTGGCTGGTTGTGGTTGTAAAACAGTGAACTCTGTGACCCCTCACTGTCAAAAGTGCAGCGGTGGCTCATCTTATCAGTCGTGTTTTTAATACAGGGAGCTGCTGCAGCTGCCATAGGTAAAGGTCTGACCACCTTGCACTGGGGCTGAAATGTGATTGTGCAAAACACACAAGAATCACTCTGTAAAGTCTATGTTGGAGTTAGTTGGCTCTTTTACTCCTAAGTCCTTGGAAAATTTTATATCTCTACCTTCTGGAGTTGGAAGCCTAATAAATCTTACCCTAGGATTTACTGTGTTGCTTTTTACATTTTTTAAAAAAATGAGGATAATCTCTCTGAATTAGAAAAAGGGGGGCAGGGAGCTGTCTGGCCTTGTTAAGTGCCACGTGTCTCCCTGTGCAAAGCGCTGGAGGAACTGTGATCTCTCTTACCCTAGTCCAGGACTCGAACTAAGTACAGACTTGTAGGTTTGAAATGGCAGGACCTCATCTCCAAGCTCAGAAGATCTGTACCTGGAGGCTTGTTGGACCATGTTGTGCCTTCAGTTATTGTCATGAGCAGCTAATATTAAATGACTTTTGACCAATAGACAACGAGGTAACCCTGTGAAGGTATAGTTTCCCATGAGCTGCCTCTCAGGGAGGTGTAAATGTGTGTGTCTCCACAAAGTTCACTCTTCTGGAGGGCGTGGACTGCAGTGGCCACTCTTCGTCCTGCAGCTCCCAGCAGGTTTGCCTCTTTGCCTGTAGGGATTGAATTGCTGTGCCTTTTTCCTCCTTTTGGCCATTTTTAAATCTTGGCTTCTAGTCCAAGTCTAACTCAACCAATCTAACCCTTTTCTTTTATTTAAGAAGTGTTTAATCCACTCTTTTAAGAACCAAATTCTAGTTCTCTTTTATGTAATTATTCTGTAGTTCATAATAAAGTTGGATTTATTGCTCCGTGCTTTCTAAAAAATTTCACCAAGCTGTGGAGGCCAAATGATTCTTAGGACTTAAGTAGACACATCCTTTTTCAAAGCTACAAGTGTTTAATGTGATCACATCAACAAAGCCATTACCCAGAGATGTAAGATCGGGGCTGCCTGGATCCACCTGTAAGCCATTTCAGCAACATTTGAAAATACTCGTTTTTATTTTAAAACTAAGATCTCTCATTGGGTTCTGGCTTTCCATCAGTGTCTTGGTTGTTGCAACATAGGGGCCTCATCATGGATAACCCCCGCGGTGTGACGTGGTCATTGTTATTCTATCTCATGGGCTGCGGTTCTTGTTTCTCCCAGTAGACTGTTTCACGCATCTTGTACTGAGGCCCTAACAGTATGCCTGAGGACCATACTGTTAGTCCTTCAGACTTCCAGCCCCCCAAGGCTCCGCTTCGGTGTGAAGTCAGTAATTGCTGTGAAGGAAAGATCCTTTTTCTACTGGAAGTTGCTGTTTACTCTCACATTTTACCCCTCTACTCTTTCTTACCCTTTTAGGTCCCATCACATTTTATTCTCCTTTCCATTTCTAATTAAGATGCTTATTTTTTAAGGTTTAGCACTGACACCTTCTGTGCGTGTGCGTGTGTGGAGTAGGGAGTTACGGCTATTGTCTCACGGTAACACAGTCCCCTTGCTTCAGTCTCCAACACTGCTGGGACCACGGGTGTACTATCACCACCAGGCCTGCCTTCCTCTCTTGATCTTCCAGTCAAAAAACGGTCTGCCAGCCACCACGAACTCCGCAGTCCTTTGTGTCTCCTTCGAGGAAGGGAGATGCCGTGTCTTCCTGTACCGTGGTCACTTGTCAGTAGCCCTTCTCGCTTGTCAGCTCCTTGAGGGCGAGGACTGGCTCTTGCCCTCTGTGTCCTCTGCATTGCTTTAACAGACTGAGTTGGTGGGGGATTTTCTCCTAGCCCTATTATGATGATCTATTATCTCAGTGCATCTGCTTTACTAAGTTTCCAAATCTCAGAAGTAAATTGTGAAACTAGTCTTCTAATAGGCTTAGAGGCTGTTCTTTGAGACTTAAGGCCACTTTCCAATATGTGTGTCCTTTAGACCTTTTCTTAAAAACAATGATTTCTTTTAAAATTCCATTTGTTATTATCATTTTTTAATTTGACCAGATAAAGACAGAAAGGGAAAGTGAGAAAGCAAGCCACCAGGTCTGGGTCTCCAACCGCCATCGGCCATGTGGGAATCCAGCACCCGTAACCACCACGTCACCTGCCGGCCCCATGTGTCCTTTAGAACTAGAGTACTTGCTAATAGTCCATGTATAAATAACTCATGACCAGATAGAATTTTTTTTTTTTTTTGGCCGGGCGGGGGGGAGAGGTTTTTGCTGTAGGGTGTGTGCACCTGCTAGAAAGACAGAGACAGAAAGCAAGAAATCACCCCACAGGGGGGATGAACATGCCACAATCCCTTCTCTCCCACTGTCCTCTCAGGATCTTGGGCACACATGCATGTGTGCCTGGCGCGAGTTTAGGACACTGGGTCCGGGACTTGAACTGTGGTCGACTACATGGGAGTCCAGCAATGTAGCCATTATGCCTGCTGCTGGTCCCCCAAGAATAGAAGATTCTTGTACAATGCTCGGGAATGTTTCTTCTTGGATCTGAACTTAATCTTTTTTTTTTTTTACTTTTAAAAAATTATTTATTGTCATCATAATCTTGCTTATATTACATTGAAATGCACATAACCTTACAGTGTATTACTTTGCTTTTTCAAAAGGGAATGCCATGCATGTCAGTCAGTGCAAAGATATTAAAATCCCCACTTCATCATTCAGTATCTTTTCATTGTTTTCCCAATCATCATCATTATTATTATTGCAAATTTTTTTTAACCAGTCAATCACTATTTTCATTTTGTTTGTAAAAAGACTTTACCTGTCATGAAATACTTCTCAGACCAGTCCAGTTGAGAATACTATACACGTTATCATCAACAGGTAATAAGCCGTATCTGTGTCCCACTAATGTCATGCCTATTTGTTCTCTTGCTATCTTTCTCTATCCTCTTCTCTTCACCCCCACTTCCACACTGTCTTATTCTCGTTAAATATTTTCACTGCCTTTATGTCCTCCAGTATTTGGCTCTCTACCATAGCATGTGGATAGTCGGTATATATTAAGTGGACACATACAATCTCTTTCTTTCATAGCCTGGTTTACTTCACTCAGCAGTAGATCCTCCGTAAAAATATGGAGCGCTTCACGAATGTGCGTGTCATCCTTGCACAGGGGCCATGCTAATCTTCTCTGTACTGTTCCAATTTTAGTCTATGTGCTGCCGAAACGAGCACTAAACTTAATCTTTTTAGTGGCACTCTTATTATCATGTCAAAAGCCATGGTCTCTCTTGTTGGAGGGAACCAGCAGTTAGCGTAATGGCTATGTCGCTGGACTCCCACGTAGTCAACCGCGGTTCGTGTCCCGGACCTGGTGGCTTAAAACTCACACCGGGCACGTGTGCGTGCGTGCCCAAGATCCCGAGAGGAGAATGGAGGAGAAGGGATTGCGGCGTGACCATCCCCCTGGGGGTGATTTCTCGCTTTCTGTCTCTGTCTCTTTCTGTCTGTCTGGCAAGCGCACGCGCCCTACAGTGAAAATCTCTCCCAAAAAAAAAAAAAAAACGCCATGGTCTCTCTTGTTGGAATAATGTACACAATTTTTTGACACTCAATTTTAGGGACAACTTTGGGGGAATCATTCATCTGTAGGCTACAGATTATAACCTGTTTCTCTTTTTTGTTTTATCAGTAGCCAAGCATCCCTTTTACAAAGAGAAACTTTCCTTTCCCCTGCATTGCTCAGGAATCACTGTGTGAAGCAGTAATGGTGACTTCATGCCCACAGCCTAAGGACCTTGGAATAGGAGCGAGCTTCTGGTCTCTGGGGAAGGGAAGACTTGAGAAAGATGGGATTCCTGAGCTCTCTGCCTCGATAGACTTACTTATGTAAGAAGAGAATGAAGATTCCGGGGGGAAGGGTAAAACCAAAGGCTCGACAACGAGTGATCAGGTGTGCTCAGTAGGGGTTCATGCAGAGGTCCGCTGGCCTTAGGTGGAGGAAGGGTGACTGCAAGGCCGAGCAGTGCTGTGCACGTTACCAGCTTCACTGTGCTGCCCGAGGGTGGGGCTTTTGTTTTCTCTCCATTTACTTATTTTTTATTATTCCCACACACACAAAATTTTTGCTATAGGGTGCATGTGCTCACCAAAGAGACATACAGAGAGAAAGTGAGAAATCACTCCCCAGAGTGGATGGCCATGCTTCAGTCTCGTCTCTTCCATTCCCTTCTCAGGATTTTGGACACACACACACACACACATGTGCCTGGCGTGAGTTTCAAGTCACCGGGTCCAGGACCCAAATCACGGTCAACAATGTGGAATCCAGTGCCTTAACATCTATGCCACCTGCTGGCCTGGTGAGACCTTTCTAGGAAGGAAGGAATTACTGTGGGTTAGGTTTTTGTCATGAATGCTAGCCTAGTTGAATTTCAGGCATTCCCTTAGAAACATCAGTTAACTGTTGTCTGTGGTGTCCTCCAAAGGACTGGGGTCCTGTGTGTGTAACGGTGGGAACACGTGAGGGACTAAGTGCTCGGTTGGTATTGAGTGCTGTCCATCACGGGAGGGCATAGAAGGGACGGGAAGGACAGGTGCCAGGTGTGTTGTAGGGAGGAGCTGACT